CGTAACAACACACACACACACACACACCAGTGCAGACCCCCATTCAGATTTCTTTGTGTCAGGGCTTGGGAGAAGCAGAGCAACCCCCCCCCCCCCCCCCCAGCCCAAATCCCAATACTCTGCTCACCTCCGAAACTGGTGACCAAAACCCGTCTGAGAAAGTAAACGATACAAGCCCAGGATGCTTCATTCTTCTTACTACCTCAGCCACGGTGCATGTGCATTTCAAAGTAGGTGGGGTTTAAAGCGGCCAATCAGAAAGAGGAGTCATATTCTTAGAGGGGAGGGCATTTGCTTAAGGCACACTGATTCCTCTTTCTAGGAATACCGGCATGCAAATCGCATCCGCTATTCCAAGTTAAATGTGTTAATACTAACTTGAAAAAGAGTAAAGTCATAGATTAGGAAGTGGTCAGAACTCCCTAGACTTTACATCATTTAGTAAATGTAATAGGAAGTAACATAATACCACCAGGTTTCAGAAGTAAATTACGTTCTGTTGGAAAGATTACAAACACACGCATCAAGGAATGAAATTTTTCTTTTACTAGTTTAGCTACACAGTCATTGAACGGCCATGTTTTAACCCCCTTTTCTCCCCAAAGCATCTCAGAAGTGGAGATATGAATGTTGTCTTTGCAAACTGACTGTGAACCACACAGAATACCCATAATGTACTGGAATTCCCAATGAATGAGGTAAGTCCTGACACTTTGCTGTGACATTAAGTGTAAATTACCTCCCCCAGGTTCGCTGTAGACATACGGGGGGGTTGGTGGTGTCACCAAATTACATAGTCAAGAATAAAAAGAGCTCTGATTACCAGATAGTAGCAAACTAATATAATCTGAATTTTTTTCCCGCCTACTCAGTCAAGTCCTGTGGGCAGCATCGTTGCCATGGCGCTGACTCATTCAGTAGTGCGGGATAAAAGCGGGCGTGAATCCGCTTTCAAATTCAAAAGCCGGTCTCAGAAATAATCACTAACACCAGGTACATAATGTGTACATGCACATTTGTTCAATGCGGGTTTGGGGCTCCGATGTCTGTCTGTAGATGTATCCGTGCTGCGATCGGCGCACAATGACGGACTACACCTGCAGGCTTGGCGTGAATGCGGGGAGCGGAGGGAGAGAGACGGTGGCGCTTCTAGTTCCACTTTTCTACGCGAACTGTTATTATGTTCGGACAAAAGAAAAAAAGAAAACACGCGAACCTCGTCGGATTCCCGTGATAATCTGATTTGGGGTAATGTGAAAGCGGGACGGGATTAGGTTTTTTCCTTCTTTCTTTCTTTTTTCCTTTTAGGTAAATGCAGAAACGGGTCACGATGCGGTGCCGTGCGGTGGCGCCTGCCTTTTGTGGGAGAGTGGACGGCCAGGTCGCCCTCTTCGCCGCGCAGATCCCGCAGTGACATCCGAAACTCCCTGGCATGAGTTTCTCGGGCTGAGCAGCGTCTCCTGTCCCTGATGCTGCTATGACTTCCTGGCTGCGCAGATACTGTAACCTCATTCTGCATCGGCTGCTGCTCGCTGTGCTAGCCTGTGTCGTGATAGAAACCTCTCATTCGGGTGAGTTACATCGTGTCATTTCAGCCTGCGATATTTTTTACCCTCTCAGTCGTTTTCTTTAACATGTCTAACAGCGCAACGTTTTATTTTCGGCTGCGCGATCCAGAGCAGCTGTGAACATTTACTCGCCGTTTGATTATATCTTACACACTGATGTGACCCTTATTGTAATCCATCCTGCGTGCCATTTTTGGGTTAAAAATGACACACGGGTGATGTGCGATTTGCATCTTCAAATAGGGTCAAAAGATTTTTTTAAAATGTATTACGAAAGCGTATCTTTATAAATAAATTTCGTCTCCGTCCTTATTACAGTGCATCGCCGGTGCTTTGGGTTTTGTTATCCTGCAGTTTTGTGTAACGATGTTAAGTATTAGGCTACAGATCCCCGGCGATATTTACCGGCGAATACTGTCCGTGTATAAACCGTGCGCCGGTACATTATTCCAGTGTTATTTCCAAGGATTCCCCTTTTTGTTGACTTTTCATCATCCTTCGCTTGCGGAAAGACTCCCTGCTGCCCTGATTAATAACATGTCCTGCTCTGTTTCCCAGATGAAAACATTTGTTCTTTGCCTGGGGTATTATCCTGTAATGAGTGCCTGAGCCGTGGACCTCAGTGTGCTTGGTGCTTCCAGGAGGTACGATTCTGCGGTGCTATTATCACGTGGATCATTATTATGATTACTGGGCTCGCGGTAATGAAAGTCCATTTCCACTAAGGGGAAATTTATGTCCTTTAGTTTTGCCTGTATCTTTTATGTAGGGCCTAATTTAGTTTTATGTCCTATTTTCCTTCTGTTGCTTTAATCGGACTTGCACGCGGACACATTCTGAAAGGCTTGCAAAAAAAAAAAGTGAATTACGCTGAAGTGCAGGACTTCGCGTCTAATTAGGGGGCTTTCTGGAAAGGGTATTAAATTAGCTGCTGTGGGGAAGACAGCGAGGCGAAAACACCGTTTGGTCAAGCGGTTTCAGAGGGCTCTTTCCTAATGACAGGTTACCGCTCGACTACTTTGTATGTCAAGAATAGCATGCAGAGAAATCATCTCAACGAAAACACAGAATAGCATAACGAGGTACTTTCCCAGATTGTGACATATACAGGTCCGCTCTGGACTACGGCAATTAATTCCAAATGCACACACATGTGATTGTAATATTTGAAACGCCCTATTTATAAAGATGTGGTTGTTAAGTGGTTGTCTGTTCCCCTCTCAAAAAATCCCTTCAGCCAAATCTCTGGGCCAGTGTTTAGGTTTTTTTTTTTTTTTAGTTGTTTTCAGTTTGGGACTGAACTAATTTCACATTCTTTAAAAAGCAGCATCTGGCTCAAGACTCAAATGGGTCTGTGTCTCAGGGTTTTTTAGACGGCGCGTCCAGGGCACAGCGATGCAACACGCTTCCAAACCTGCAGAAGAAAGGCTGCGCTGTGGAGTTTGTGGAGCAGGCCACCGTCACGCTCAAGGTGAACCCCACACCTCCCGGCCGCCAGGTGGCACCACAAGATGTCACTGTCCAGCTGCCGCCAGGTACGCCTCCCCGTCTTCTTCTGGGGGCCCGGGGGGGGGCTGGTGGTGTCCCTTGCTCGCTTACCACCTCCGTGCTCTTGAGGAACATACAGGAATCTTTTAGGGCTGAAAACGGAGCCACATCTATTGGACAGCGGAAGACAAGCACAGACTTTGAAAGGGGCGATTCTAGGATTTGACCCTAAAGGGGTTCAACTGGGCCGTGCAATCCAATAAGTAACATAGGCGGCTGCCTAGGGCACCAGCTTCTGAAGGGGCACGAATTGCCAGCCAATTTCACGTTGCTTCAGACAGGGGGCACCGGCTGTGATGCTCATCTAGGATGGCACATTGGGTAGGACCAGTACTGGGGTCCACCATGATTAAATTTAGTGGGGTCCACCATGATTAAATTTGCCTGGTTTCTTGATGTTTAAATTAGCTGAATGCGGGGGTGTTGCGTGTCCCTGCAGGTACCGAGGTCAGCGTCACTGTGGAGGTGAAGCAGCTGGAGCTGTATCCTGTGGACATGTACTACCTGGTGGACGTCTCAGCGTCCATGCAGGACAACCTGAACAGGCTGAAGACGGTGGGCACTGGGCTGTCCCACAGGATGAGGGACTATTCCAGCGACTTCAGGGTGGGCTTCGGCTCCTTCGTGGACAAACCCGTCTCGCCCTACATCAACGTCCACCCCTCTAAAGTCAGCAACCCCTGCTTGTAGGTCCTCCACATCCATCCGTGCATCTGATATCATTCATCTCAACATCACAAGTAACTTTCTGAAAGTGAGACCCACCTGTTAATAGGTTCACTAATAAATAACAAACATCCGTCCATCCATCCATCTTCTGAAACCACTCGGGGTCACAGGGGGTGCAGAGCCTTTGGGAACAGGACAAGGGACAATCCAGGATGGGGCACCAACCCATTTAAGGACACACTCACACACGCACAATTATGGGCAATTTGGCAACTCCAATTAACCTCCACGTGTTTTTGGACCTGGGGGGGGGGGGATGGGAGACCCAAGGAAACCCCATGATGACACAAGCAGAGCTGCCCCCCATGGAGGAAGTGTGAGGTGACAGAGTGCTAGCCGGTGCACCACCATGCTGCCCATAATAAACCTTTATTCACTATTAGTTTTGAACGCTTTCTACTCACTATTTGGAGTATAAAAGACCAGGTGGCTCAGAGGGTTAAAATGTGGTCTAACGGCTCCGAAGTGGGGTGCTTTCATCCCCAGATCTTGCACTCTGATCTAAGCTTGCATTTCCCCTTGCAGCCAGAAGGTATGTTCCCAGCTATCTGGTTGATGCGAATTACCCGCTGTGTGTGTAATTTACCCAGGCTGTCCCTGCTGTGCTGCCTAAGACAGGCTTTGGGCTCACGGTGACCCTATACTAGATAAGCAAATATGGAGAATGGAGAGAATTGAATAGTGATATTTACCGTCCCTTCTGGAGAGTTCCTCTAATCGTCTATCCCATCTTGATCTCCAGGAGACACACAGACACATTACAGCTCTGGAAAAAATTGAGACCACTCTACATTTTTTTAAAGATCTGCATTTTTAAATCCAACTTTACTCCTGGTTCTGCTGGCAGAAAGTGACACTTGGTGGCAGCTGCTTCCAGGCTCCAAGATTCAAAGACAGCAGTGCAGAAGATCAAGGTGAAGCAGGTCACTGGCGATAACCAAAAGGCTGCCAGGTAGACGGCAGGAGCAACATTCTAATGCCAGAGATGACTGTCTACTTACCCGGCAGTGACCTTCAAAAGGAACGGGAAACATTAAGTGGTGTGAAGTGCACTGCTAGGACAGTTCATAACAGGCTCCTAGAAGCAGGACTGAAGTCCCATAAAGCAGAGAAGAGCCAGGCTGCAGTTTGCAAAAAAATATATAAATTTATACACAGGCACATATCCATAAATTGAAAATTTCGCTGTGGTCTCAATTTTTTCCAGAGCTGTTTGCAGGTGGGAGTCACATTACTGGGCCAGAATGTAGGTCACCTGGAATTAGGGGTTAGGGGCCTTGATCAGAGGCCCAATGGCAGCCTCAGTCTGCATGCCCTGGGATTTGAACTGGCGAGCTTCTGATCAGGAGTCTTAAGCATATAGCGTTTGCGGAGACGGGTAATATTTTTGCCACATAGCTGACGTATGTAAGCTTTTATTACGGAGATTGACCCCACTAATCCGCCCTTCCCTACGCAGCGACTTCAAGATGCAGTGCCGACCCACGCACGGGTTCATGCACATGCTCTCCATGACGGACAACACCACGGAGTTCACACGCATCATGCTCCAGCAGGGCATCTCAGGAAACATGGACACGCCCGAGGGTGGCTTCGATGCCATGCTGCAGGCCGCCGTGTGCCAGGTGGGTACCACACGTGTCTCTGCCACCCGCTTCTGGAAAACCAGCTGAAAAGGGACAAATGACCTAATAGGTTTCATTAACCCAATGAAAGCTGATCTAGGGAGGCATCTGAAAATAAACAGCAGGTTAATTTCATTGACGTCAATAATAAAGAGAATGTTTGCTTTGAGAATGTGGCTGGCGTTCAAGTATATTTTTTCAGTAGACAAGCATTTATTTATATCTGTGTACGTGTGCCATATGCTGTTTTCTAAATAAAGCCATGAAATCGTTACCTCTTTATAGGATAGTTTGTTTCAGAAGCATGGATTAAAACAGGTTTTAACATTATTAGTGTCGCTGACATCTCAGTAGTAAAGTTGAAGATTATCGCTCATGTCATGTCAATGTCAATTCTTGCCGTCCATGTAGGCAGAATTTTTCTAGAATGTTCTGTCTTCTGTCCAGGCCTGCAGGTTTCCTAATGGCATGTTAATTGTTGTAACATTTGACTTCATCCTTCTTCTTGCCGGTCATCCGCTTCATCTTATAGTGTTAAGGGTTAGGTCTTCTCAGTAAACAAAAATAAGATTAATTATAATTACATTGACGATACTCCCTTTGGGGCCACTGGACATTACTCAAAACTTTTGGTACAATCCATCCTTTGAAGCTAGCTAATTAAACTTTACGTAACGTTTAATTGTCCCATGATACACGATAATTTAGCAAGTCGTTTCCTGGGGCAGATTTAGGAAACTGTGTTACATCCCAAGTCATAATTTTAAATGATTTTCTGGAATCCACCCCCACCCCCCCTACAACACCCCAATGCATTAATTTAAGGGCTATGACTCAGAGTGGCGTTGGAGTATGACAATAATCACACTGGGGGCTCTAGTATCCTGATTCAGCTGCGTCTCACTTTAACAGTATAAATCAGGGCAGGAGTCCAAAGTAGAAGCCTGGGGAA